CCTTTTCCTCTTTAAAGCAGAACTTGCAGTTTGTTATGTTGTGTACATTTGAAATCAGCAATGTCCTAAATTCTTGGTAATACACTAGGATTAATAAAATACACTAGGATACCTTTTCCTTGATGGATGATCCATCATTAGCAAAACTACATAATGTTTTGGAAACTGTGAAGAAAGCAACTTGAAGAATTGTTTTTTTTCTTTCTCTTTTTAAGAGCTGCTGGATAAAGAAGACTGTGGTTTAGGCTATAATTCAGTAAAATGACAAATGCTTACATAGAGAGCGTAACATGAGATTTATTTATTTTAGCAACCCAGTAGACATAGGCAAGCAAATTGGTGCTACTATGATAAAAACTACAACCAAATGTTTGTATGGAAATAACACAAAGAGCAGTACCAGAATTTGTAAATAGTAACCACGTAATACTTTTCTTTCAAGCTAAAATAAAACTCCAGACACTTGGGTCTGAATTGTCTATTCCCACTTCTCTAGATTAATGTTTTAGGACAAATATTAATTAGAGATCTTTGAAGAATAATCTCTTCTTTGCACTAAAACTGTTCGCCTGTGCAGTTGCTCACATTAGTTCAACAGCATTTTCCAGTATTTAAATATAGCATGTGCTGCTGCCCATCCACTCAACCAGCCTGGAACTTTTGTTTCAGAAACAAATAGAGGGACTGGATATGGGAGCTGGAAAATATGACTTAGTAGTTGTGAGGCTTCTGGTTAATTACTTTACACATGAAATGTATGATAAAGCACAGGCTTGAAATGGTTGGAGGTGCTTGGTGCTCAGTACATTACTGCCCTGTGATTCCAATTAACTTGGAAGAAACTAGGCCCAGGTAGCATTCTTAAAAGCATAGCTCATTAACCCTTATCATCCATCCATCCCATCCGTCCATCCATCCCATCCGTCCATCCATCCCATCCATCCCATCCATCCCATCCATCCATCCATCCATCCATCCATCCATCCATCCATCCATCCATCCATCCATCCATCCATCCATCCATCTCATCTGTCCATCCCATCCGTCCATCCATCCATCCACTTTAAATCAGATTTTTTCCTTTGTGTCTTTGTTTCCCGAACATGCAGGACATCAAATAAGTCTACAGCTTTGTACCTCATGCCCATTTTTTTAGTCTTTTCATAATTGCTCAGATATTAAGTCACTAGGAAAGCAACTCTTAAAACTGAAAAGCAAGAGATAATACAGTAAATTGTGGCATAAGCACAACTTATACTTTCATTTTAGCTTTGGATTTTCAGTTTAGAGGAGACTTTGAGAAAGTCTGTAAGATTTTTTGTTTTTTAATATTTTCTCCACATGAAGATCAGCAATCTTATCTAAGGATAAAGCCCTTCCAAAAACCCCATTTCTTCTGGATCTTGGATATTAAAGGAAAGCAAATCCAACATGAGATTCAAAGGAAACCTTAAGAGCCTGTAATAGTACAAAATCACTTCCAAAGAAGTACTGAAATTCCTGAAACCTTACATGATCAAAAACATGAAGCAACCAAACAATCCCTTCTGTATTTAGCTCGAAAACACAGCAAGGGAATATAACAAATTTATTTTTTACTTGCTTCTTTGTTGCAGTTTTAACAATTAAGACAAATAAAGATATCTCATTACTGCAACAACAACATTAGGAACTACTAGTATTTTGCACTATTTTTGAAAATGGTTTTATTTTGGCCAGAAAAGCATCTTTGCTTTTTGTTTATTATATGTGAAGTTGCATATAAAAGATAAAACACACATATCACAGACATCTAGATTCACTATCTTCTGCCAAGACCATAAACTTGTGATCAAAAACATGTGCATCCCATCAAGCCTTGTTATGGGCAATTTATGAAGTCTTACATATCAGCCATGATTTTTTTACTTCCGAAATGAAATATAATCTTATAAACTGATTGAAAGTATTACAAATACACAATTTAAACTATATAGCCACAGATGCTACAGTTTTCAGAAGTGTCAAGAAAATTGCAGGGGAAGACAAGTCTTCAGGAGAGAGAAAGTAGCCTTTAAGTTAAGAAATGTTACAAAATTCTGCTTTAAGAAGTTATATTTGGCAACATTTCCCTAAAAAAGCTAATGAATTTTCTGTCCAAAAAAAATCTCATCTACTCTGAATTTTTTTCACAAGGAAATAATTATTCAGTACTTCAAAGTCTTATTAGTCCTCTGAAAAGCACCCTTTTTTCCATAATACATCCACATATCTTAATAGTGTAAAATACATTGCTCCATGGTGTTTCCTTTAAAACTGCTTGTCACTAATATTTATAGAACATCCTCTAAATCCAACACAATCAAGATAATGTTAATCACCATACAGTGGCAAAATATTCCAGTAACAGGAATAAAACATTGAGAAGAAAATGAAGTCTGATATAATGTAATGTTCAGCTTTGGTATCAGTTGCAAAGCGTACTCTTGCAGGTATTAGTAGGTAAGAAATGACACATTTCAAATACCTGTGTCCACTGCTATCTTAACACTATGCTTTTCTGATAGTGCTGTTTTACAGATTCATTTTTAAGTTGTTTTTCATAACTGAATGTCTGACTATTAGGGAACTCCCTTACTTTCCTTTTTCAAGCCTCAGTTCTTCACTTCTTTGCAAGTAGAAGAGTGGGTTAATACCCTTCATCAAGCTGAGTCAGCACAATCATGCCTATCTGAAAGAGCCATCCAAGAAAAATATCATAGGGCAATTATCTAAGGCAATTACCATAGCTAAGACAATGAAAAGCAAAATCCATCAGACACCTGATTATGATCAAAAAAATCATGTGAAAAAGAGAAGGGACATAAAGACACAAGGGCATACTGACAACAAATCAAAGTGAACTACAAACACTCAGCAGATTTCAAAAAATAAAGCGGTCAGTCGTTCTGCTCCACCACTGACAATGGCACCGCTAAGACAGCGTCTCGAGTTGGGAACTTTGCGTCCCCTCAACTGACCACGTAATAGGTTTGCTTTTGAAATTTTACCTTTACTAACTGTTACTGAACACTGTGTTTCTCTGAAGGGTTAAACCCTGTACAAGACATTGAGTTATGTCAAAAGCCTGTGGCTTTCAGGCCAGACTCTAGGCTATGAAAGACACCGGGGCTTCCTGGTATGTAGATTTTGGGAGACAAGTTTAGGAGTTTCCTCAGGAAGTTATGTTAGATGTGAAAATGAGAAAAATAAAATCTCTTTCTCAGAAGTGACAGAAGATTAGAACCATTATTCTTACTTCACAGAGGGGCCTGAAGGAAAAAGAGATGCTCCATGGCAATATCACTGGTAAGTGATACAGGAAGAAATTATCTCTGGTTCTTCTGACTCCCTGTTGAGTGCTTCAGCTACTGGACCATGTTATTAAATGGAAAACAAAAACACTATGAAGCCTTTCAAAGTGATGCAGGACACAGTATATAACTTTCTTGTATTGCAATATTTAAGTAGAGCATATAATCTGTATTGTTTCACTTCTGATACTACAGAGTTTTATCCAGTAAAACTTGTTCCTATCAGTTACTACATTTTCCTGTATTTTTAATACTCTGATGCATGTGCCTCTGACAGAAGCTAGAACGGATTAAGTCATATCACAAATTTTGTTTGCAGATTCCAGATTTACATATAGAAATAGGTACCGGGTAGATAGATATAAACATAAATGTTCACACATACACATAAGCAGACACATATTAATGTAACTGAGCAATTATCTGTATGACTTCAAAGTTAGTCCAAACTTTTTTTTGGATCTCATTAATTTTCAAAGAACACTTAAAAAAATTATTCTTTTTGGTGCATGATACACACTTAAGGAAAAAAAAAAAAGAGCCCTTATTGTTTGAAAAAAGAATGAACAAAAATTTAAAAAAATAGCTACAGTTGATTAGGGTTGATTTCATATCAGCAGAAAAGAAAGGATTCTTTTATTTTGTGTACAAATGAGTTCCTGAGGGAATCCGTAACTACCAATCACCCTCTAAGCTCCAATGGAAACACAATAAAAACAACAAACAAAGCACTTTGGGAATGTTCTGTTATCTTTTACCATTTGCATCTTGGTATCAACTTCTATTTTTGTTTGGAATCTCTCTGAAACTATTTTGTCAATTACATGTGAAAGGAACACAGGAATTAGGACAGCTCAGGTGAACAAAAAGTTCAAACTACACCTGTGTCTAATGAATGCTACACGAATCAAGGTAATGCTAACAATAGTTCAGAATTCAGAACTGAGCTGCATATAAATGTTTTACAAGAAATATCACTAAAAACAATTTTAATTAACTGTGTGCACATGCAATGGTTAGCCTTTATTATCAACTCATTATTTTATATGCCTAATAGTAACTTTGAAGTTAAGTCTGTGAAGGAAAATAATTTCTTGCTGAAGAGTATTCAAGATGTTTTCCAATTCTAATTTATATTACAGCATTATAAGGTTGGCTTTGGGTGGAGAAACAATGTCATTAAAAAAAAATGTCCCCTTGCTAGGAAGTTCAAAGTCTCCTCTCTATTGTGTCAATATACATGAGGAATTCTAATCAAAACTAGAGCATTAAGAAAAATAATCAAGTATTAGTTGGTACTTGAATTTCCCCAATGCATTTCTGATTCTATATATGATTGCAAGATCATAAGCAATAGATTCAAAACACAGTTCAAGGATGTTCACATTACCATAGAAGTCATAGTAAGAAATCATTTTTCTTCTAAATGAAATTATACAGCACATCAGAAATGTTATACAGATATCAAAACAGTCATGTGAAACAGAAAAAGTAATGATAAAGATGTTTTATTCCAGGAAAAACATGTGTCTACTATATGACTGTTTATAAACTTGAAAAGTAAAAGTTGTGTTGAGTAGCCTACAGCATATTTGCAAACATATTTGCTCTGGCAAGCACACATAAAAATTTCAGCTGTTACAGTGAGCCTTCAGTGAACTCACTTACCTTTAAAAGCAGATATTTTATAATTATGTTGGATAGCAGCAACCATGTCCTTCCAGAAGTCATATTTTTTCTGACCATCATGCTGTAAGTGTCAAAAGAACTTAAGTCATTAAATCAAGCATCAGCTATTACAAGCTTTCATATTGAAATAGTGACAGAAATGCCATCAATAAACAAAATTATACAAGTGAGACAGTCTTAAGATTGTATTCAGGACATCGGGACCCAATAGTACTTAACTTTGGGTAACTGAAGACAAGTTATGTCCCTCTTAAGAAGGTTATGATGGGAGGAGGAAGGGGAAAGAAGTGATTCATATTTGTGAGGAACTCTAAAATGTTACAGCAAAGGGGAGCATCAGATAGAACACCAATTTACAGAATGAGCATCCCACTGACATTTGGGAACAGAAGTGCCTAGGGCTGCAGATACTGAACTTAATTAACATGCTGACATTATCTACAGCCTGACACCCGTATCACCTTCCACCTTAAAAACTGGCAAATCCCTTTGCTATAATTTAGAGGTAATGCCCTTCTGCCAACAGCTCTACCCCACACAGTGAATAAAATACTCATCCAGAAGCCCAGCTGAGCAGCACTTCACTGCATTGTACTCTGAAGACTGCCAAACCCCAGCTCTGGCAGGACGGGGAAGGCAATCCTTGATTGTGAACAGTCTCTGGCCATTCCTAGAAAGGTCCCAGGGACAGCAGAGCTCCAGTTGACCTCAGCTGCCCCTTCAGCATCTCACATGGCATTCTCAGCCAGCTGAGCCCCACAGAACCCTCAAACTCACAAATTTTAGCAGTGATGAATGAAACAGATGCAATTACACAGCCAGGCATTATTACAGAGCAGAGGATTAGCTACAGAGCCTGTAAGAGGTGCTCAGTTACACAGTAACCTGGCAGCAGTAAAGCAGGTGGTATAGTCTTTATGGGTCACGGAAAGTATTTCTGCAGTGCTGTTACAGGCTTTCCACACCTACATTAGGATAAATTTCAAGGCAACTGTTAGCAGGTTTCGGGGCACTGCTGCCCTCTATGTATTGACACCTGCACTGATGCCTGCACAACGGTATTTTTTGTAAACATAAAGTGTTTTGTAGAGAGGGAAACATTCAGAAACTGAAAAAAAAACCAAACCAAACCCTTATTATTGCCAAACAAAACCCAAAACAATATAGTTTATATATACTGAAACAAACTGCTATTTCAGTCCAAATCTGCCATGGAGGCTTCCAGAGAACAGTCTGCATTTACTTTCACAATCAGCAAGTCACACAAACAAGGTCTTTTGTGCGTAACTGACAAGCACTATGGTAGTCTGCTCATCGTCCATCAGTTCTACAGGTTAAGAGCAGGAAAGAGATGATGCTGTGGCTTTCTGAAGTTTTTTTTTAGTCCATTCCTACAGCAAACTGCCCCACCAACACATAAAAGAGCTAATAAAGAGAAAAGGTTTCACATGTCAGCATCAGCTAGTCAAGGATGCTAAGCAAGGGTGATTATTCAAAGCCATGTACAGGACATACTGGGGAGTATCTGCCTAGTGGCAAGGGAAGTAGCCTAAGCTAGTACTCATCTTAAGGCAGACAGACTCAACCATCTGCTCCCCTCACACTCGATGTGGCTGACTTAGTCCTTAGTTTGGAGTTTTGGCTTTTTTTGCTTGTTTCTCTAAAAAAAAGACCAATACACTGAACCAACAGTTCCTCAGAGTGCTGTTTTGAAGAGAGATGAATACTAGTTTAAAACTGGGTACATTTCCCTCAAAACATTTGAACTCAGGAGACTAAAGTAACTGTTAGACTAATTCCTTGCAAATCTTCAAGTGTTGCATGCAAGATGTAAAGTAAAACTGACTGATCCCAAAAAGCCGACAGAAAACTGTATACATGGCCACGCAGTCCACCATGATTTTGGTGTGATTACAAAATGTGATTTTATTAGCTGAACCATCATGACAAGCAATGTTCTGTATAGCTCATCAGTATAAAGATCAAAACCACTAAAAAGCTCCCAAGCTTTGTCTGAAACGATCTAAGAGCTCTAGCTCTGGACACAGCAAAAACAGATACATTTTTAAAAGTGCAGGATGGTCCAGCATCTAACTCTTGTCTAAATCCATTGTGAATCCAAATTTAGCAGTTCTCCTATCTGCTTCCAGTAGAAAGCCTTCTTGAACCTAGAATGTTGTCTGGAAATGGTAAGAAAACACATTTACTAAGCAGGCTCACAGAACAGGACACAGAAGGCTCTACTTTCTTCTAGAAGAATAAAATGTGATAGTTTCTAATCCATTTTGCAGGCATGAGTTCTGGGCTGGGAGAGGCTAATCACCTCCTGCCTTGCATCTTTCTCAAGTGGCTGATGCTAACCTTCCAGGGCATTACTGTAACCCTCTGGTTGAAACTGGGCCGACATCCAGTGAAACACTTGAGAACTGCTAGGGGATAAAGAGGGTGCATGACCCACTTCTTGGAGCTCTCCAGAGAAATGGCACGGCTTTAATTCCCTCTGGCTGAAGATGGCACTGATCCAGGATCAGTGCTCCAGCCTGTGAACTGGTAACTGAATGTGAAAGCTTATTGCACACATGTTATGATGTGCTTTCTCTCTTAATAAGTAGGTGATTTGTGCTGAGTCTAAATTAAATATAAAGTAAATACAGTACAGGTGACACAACTGTAACAGGTTTCTTAGCTGTTAACAGCTTAGGGGAAGATTAATCAGGCAGAAAATTAAGAGACTTACCGAGCACCTGTCCTCCATGCTTCCCTGATAAGCTAATTTTAGCTAACTCTTCATGCAGCACTTGGATTTAGGCAGCAAGCTACTCAGCATGCTATTTTGGAGTGAAGGCTAAAGCAGCAAGCCACCTATTATCCAAAGAGACCCAGACACTCATCTCACAGCTCTGACTTTCACTCTGCACACAGGGTTTAATATTGACAATTTTCAGGCCTGCAGCCCTTTGGTACCTCTGGCCAGGAGACTACATCAGTACTCTTTTGACACCAATATAGTCATTCTAAGAGAAAAGCCCTCTCTTACCTCCAGGTGCACACAAGTTAAACATTCAAACCTCCTTTTATACAACAAGACAATTATAATCAAACTTCAAAAGTAGAATTTTGGACATTCTATCTACCTAAAAAGCACCATCTTAAGAATTTTCCAGTCTGAGAATTCAGCTCACTGTTCAGCAGAGGAAAAAAAATAAAAAGATACTATCCCAGAGTTGTATTTATATCTGTGTACACAGATCAACATATCTAGGACAAAAAGAAGCTTCAAAAAGGATGAAATTAAGCTTTCAACTCATTAACAACTTGCAAAGTAGCAAATTGTGTCATTCAGAAAACTTAGACTATATTTATTCAAGTACCATCAAGTATAATTGAAAGAGACTTACAAAACTATATTCTGC